GGTTTATCTTTTCTCGGCGATTGGTTTGGATTCTCGAGGCACAACAAGTGGTATCAGAGCTCCGGGCAACGCTTGGGCTTTTTGGAGGTGTAGATCAGTTGGGAAGTTCATCTAGAGCTTCGATTGGTGATAAAGGTGGGATCTTTGTGGTAAAGTTTCTATCTTTTTTAAGTTGGATCTATTTCCTATTTGTTCCGCAATAGTTTGCGGAAAACCGGCCGACGTTAATGAAAATGTTTGGAATAAAATGAATAGAACGGCGTGTGGTGTGATTAGGTCTTGCCTTACCCAAGACCTTAAATATGATGTGATGAATGAAACTTCGGCAAAGAAGATTTGGGAGGTCCTAGAGGGCAAATATTTGACAAAGAGCGTCAAAAATCGTTTGCATTTGAAGAGGAGGCTTTATCGCTTCCAATTGAAGAAGGGGACATCTATTAGTGATCACATGAACCACTATACGAAGCTACTTGCAGATTTGGCGAACGTAGATGTCATTGTTGAAGATGAGGATAAAGCATTGTTGTTATTGAGTTCCTTGCCCGACGAGGAATATGAGACCTTCGTCCTCACTCTTATTAATGGGAAGGCATCTCTTTCGTATAGTGAGGTCACCACAGCCCTTGTGAACTATCAACTTCGAAAGAAGGACAAGGAGACTTCCATTGAGCCGGTTGCGGGGGTATTTGTTGCAAGAGCTAGAAGTCCAAACCGTGGGAGGAGATCGCAGTCTAGAGGGGGGCATCCTGCAGTTGGTAGGAATCAGTGTGCCTTTTGTAGAGAGGATGGACATTGGAAAGCCGAATGCCCAAAATTGCAAGCTGTGAAGAATAAAGGGAAAGCTATTCAAGCTTCAGAGGTGAATATTGCCAAGGCTAGTGGCGATGTTTCAGATTCAGATTCAGATTCTTCGGGCTATTCGTGCCCAGCTCTTCCGTCAGTTGATGTTGCCGACTCCACCGAGTGGATGTTGGATTCAGGTGCTACTTACCACATATGCCCTAGGAGGGATTGGTTCTCCAGCTTTCAGGAGTTGGAAAGAGGGGATGCTGTTCTCATGGGTAATGATCACAGATGCCCTATTGGTGGTATTGGTACCGTTCGGATTCGGATGAGTGACGGGATGATCCGGGAGTTGGCTGATGTGAGATTTGTTCCTCAACTGAGGAAGAACATCATTTTACTTGGGGCATTGGAGGCAGCAGGCTATAGGGTGACTTTGGCGGATTCTCGCTTGAAGGTCACATCGGGATCCATGATTGTGATGAAGGGCGTCAGGAGAAGTAACTTATATTATCTGCTTGGGAGCACGGTGATTGATAGAGCGCTGACGACTTCTATGACTAGACTGTGGCATTGTTTGGTGCTGGGATATATTATTGGTTATGCCGTGCACAGATTGTTGAGGAGTGCTATGACCTGCAGATTGAAGTCCTGTGAGCACACTGGGATGAGCGAGGAGACCGAGGTGGAGTTCAGCACTTCTATCCACCAATCGAGGGGTCTTATTGGAGGTGTTCAGTTAGGCATTGGGGGGCCTTCCATGTATGCATCAGTGGGAGGTAATCATTATTTTGTTTCCTATGTTGGGGATTGTACTAGGCATATTTGGGTTGCAACCAAGTCCCATTGGTATAAAGCCCTAGTAGTCCGCAATAGTTGGAGGAACTAGGCATATTTGGGTTGCAACCAAGTCCCATTGGTATAAAGCCCTAGTAGTCCGCAATAGTTGGAGGAGGTGTATGGGCAAGAAGGTTACCAGTCATACTTGTTCTAGTAGGAGTCATTTCTTGCATCGGTGCCGAGCTCATGGCAATTGGAGACACTTCGGAGGGGAGGAGACAGTGGGGCGACGTGATGAGATGGCGGATTTAGTAAGCCGTTCTTTTCTGGAGGAGGATCGGCATTGGTTGTCAAGCAACGGATCTGGTATTCAGGCTTCGACAGGTTTGGGTCATCTTATGAGGTTACCGACTGCTGCGTATAGAGTTGTTAGATCTGGTGGAGCTGTTTCAGATTTTGGTTGTCGTCGGATATTGGGCTACCCAGCACTTGGTCACATCGTGGATGTGAGATTGGATCCGATTGCGCATTGGCTATCAGTTGGGAGCTTCTGAGTTTGGTCTGAGCAGGTTTGTCACTTTGGACTCTCGGCAGGTGGAGAGTATTGATCAGGTCAGAGGGATATCGCAGCGGGTGGAGGTTGATGCTACTCCACATTGGGTGGGGATTTCCCCACATACTCCAGGTCATTCTGCATTGGTTGGGATTCCAGCTGAGGTGGCACAGCGTGGGAGTCATTTATTTATGGGTACAGATGATGAGGTGGTTGATTTGGATGCAGCTGGTGGATATGTTTTGGATACGGCCATTGTTTCACCTCAGGTGGAGGTGTTCGGATCGTTTCAGTTTGGGGTCATTGATGATGCTATCAGCCGCAAGATGGATTGAGGGCCTTTGGAGGCCAATGGGTGAACTACGTGAAGGCTTGATTCCTTGGAGAGGATACGTAGGCAGGCAGTTTTCTGATGCAGCCGATTTGGTGAGTAGACACAGTTGGTTTGGGGTTGAGTGTTCACACTTCCGTTTGGGTCTCGACGTGCTGTGGATGGAGTCCATTGTCATGAGTCCGTTGCCATGGCGTACTGGATGCAGCAGTTGAGGCATTGGTTTGATCGGTGTCGGCTCAGTTTGGTAGAATCTTCGCCGAGGTGGAAATTTGTAGAATTGGCAGCAGAAGTGGATTTCTAGCTCAGGATTCAGGTTGACAGTGTGGCGGTCGACCGGTCCGGTCGACCGCTTTCGTGCACGTCACTTACTGTGCTTCAGGATTGGTGGCGGTCGACCGGACCGGTCGACCGAAGATGGTAGCGGTCGCCATTGAGGGTGAGTTCTTGGGCTTCTATTGTTGGAGCAATTGGGAGAGATCAAGAGTGATTTGTTGAGGGTTTTGGTGAGAGATTTGTAACCCTAGTTGTATCCCCTTGATTTCTAATAGTGAAAACTCCCCCTTCTTGCCCCGTGGACGTAGGCATCTCGCCGAACCACGTAAAACTGGTGTTGATTGTGTTTGTGCTATTGTTTGGTGTGTTGGTTTATCTTTTCTCGGCGATTGGTTTGGATTCTCGAGGCACAACAATTTTTTCACTAAATAGCTTGAAATCTTTGTGTATTTTCTATTCTACCTTATTTTCCTAGTAATTTAGAATTCATACTTATAAAAATTTTATTCAAGATCCTACCTAAAAATAGAGACAAAAGAGATTATATCTAAAACCATAAACATGTAAGAAAACAAGTTTATTAAATAAATGACATTTAAAATTCAAAATATATGTTGTCATAGTTATAAACCTATAATTCAAATCTTATCAAAACACTTCATGGTGAATATATAAGAATACTACAGACGTGGGGATGTAGTGACGCCCACAACAGGCATAGCCTCCTCCACAACTGAAAGTTGTAGCAACTATATATCCCATAACTGACTTGTAGCCTACAAAAGAGTATCTTCCTCTAAATTTTGCATTTCCGTTTTGATGAATTATCCTCGTTTGGTACGCGGGAATGGACTCAAATGAGAATAGAATGGAAGAAGGAATGTAATGAAATTAATGTGAGAATGGAATGGTCATTCCCATTCTCACGTTTGAGTGTAATTTATAAAATGAAATGAGAATGAATGTATTTTAAAATTGTATATTTTATTGATTCCCACTTAAAGTGTAATTTATAAAATGAAATGAGAATGAATGTATTTTAAAATTGTATATTTTATTGATTCCCACTTAAGTGGGAATGCCCATTCCCTATCACTTCATTATGTATTTTAAAATTGTATATTTTATTGATTCCCACTTAAGTGGGAATGCCCATTCCCTATCACTTCATTAGGAATGCTCATTCCCACGTAAAGTGGGAATTGATGAGAAGTGAGAATGAGCATTCGAACTTCAAAAAAGAGGGTGTGTTTGGTAGAAAGGAATGAGAAGTGAGAATGATCATTCCATTCCGCCCCATTCCCGCGTACCAAACGAGGCCTAAATTCTTACAAGTACTCTGCTTGTATTCCGATGTTTGATAAGCTTTGTGGACATGGATCCTACCCGCTAGTAGGAGGAAACCCGCTTTTAATTATAACCGATGATTATTTCAGTTGACGATTATGATTTGTCTTTGTGGAAAAAGGCGATACAACCAACATTAAAAGTTAGAATCAACCACATAAATGGCGAACAACAGTAATCAAAATAGTAATCTCTTCGCTACTATCCACTCCTCTATAGTTAAAAGAGAATCCAAAGAATTATTGTTTATGCTACAGTAAATATTGTAGCGTGGTGAACTAAATATGGTCCTATGCACCCCCAAATACTGTTTATGCTACAGTAATTTACTGTAGCGTAATAGTAAATCAAATCTGCTTCTCCATTCTTGAAGTCACTATTCATTTATTATGCTACAATAATTTACAGTATCATAAACAGTAAAGCAAATCAAATGTATTAAAATTTAGTTGCTTCTTTAAATATAAAGAATTAGACATGATTTCTCAATCAAACATATTAAAACTTGGATCTTTTGATTTCTAATTTTAAGCATACAATAACTAAATTAAATGTATTAAAACTTAAAAAGATGCAAGTTTAAAATGCAGTGCTTAAAAAAATAGGAAGTCGTGCTTTGCACGGCGGCGGGCACTAGTTTAATATTATAGAAGACCCAAATTTAAAATCTATATGCTCATAAACTAATACCACGTGGCATGCATACATGTGCATAATTGAAATTAATGTTGGTGAAAAGACATGCTCCTAACGTCTGAGACGGCGAACGGTTGACGGACTCTTCCGCCTTCCCGCCAGGATGAACGGCTGATGTTGCATCTAGTCTGATCCGTTCAATGCAGGTTGCCACGTCACCCACAGTCCGAATTTAGCCTGACGAGCTCCCCTCTTTCCTCGTCTTAGGCCTTCATTCAAAAACTAGAGCTAAAAATAGCAACTTTCATGACAATTACCAAATAAAATCCATTTTTTTTGGGGAAATTTTTGTTGGGCTCGTCTCTTTCCTCTTCGGAAAAGAGCCTGAAACCCTAACCGCCTCTTTGATCATCTCTTTGGCCTCGCCGGCCAAACTTCCCGATCAAGATGTTCAATCTTATGACGGTGCATTTCGATTTTCATGATTCCTCTATAATTTCTCAAGATTTGATTTTTGGATAATTTTGTTTGCTACTCATGATGATTTTCTTTTTTAATTTTAAAAATTAGGAATCTTTTGAGAGGATCAAAGGGAAGTATCCAGGAGAGGGGGATGGGGATTCCGTTAACGGGTCTACGCACGGCATGAATGGCTTCTTCAAACAGGTATTTTTCAATTCCCTCCGACAATTCGTTGAAATTTTCTATTTTGATTATCTTTTATTATTAAATTCAATTCAGTAAATAGTTTTTTTTTTCCATATAAAAGAGGGTCTTAGCCAATGCATATAATACGAACAGCAGAACTCATTAATTCCAATTTTGGTTATCTCTTATTATTGTATTTAAATGGGATAAAAAAAGGTTTTTTTTTTTTTTTGAAAGAGAGAGTCTTTTGGCTCACATTATCATAAAAGTGAAAGGACATATATAATACGAAGATTAAGAGCAAAAAATTACATTTTTCTCTTAAAATGTGTGGACCGAAACTCCATGATCATGATAGGCCAAGAGTAGATTCTGAATCCTAAAAATAAATTCGCATATTTGTCTAACAAAGAGACAATCTAAAAATAGGTTTAACGAAGCAAAAACTGTAAAGGTTGGTGAAAATAGTTTTTTTGTATATGCTTATATCGAGAGATAAAAATACAAACCACAAGATATCTCTTTTTCTGGTTAAATGGGGTTAGTGACTCAATTGCAGGAAAATTTGAGGATAAATTGTACGGATGCAAGTACAAATATGAGCTATGAATCTATGATACAATACAAACATGCAAATTTACAATACCAGATACAAAAGTTAAATAATGCTTTATTATATATTTTGAAAATTGTAATTCAATCATGAACCAACTATGAATCCATCGTACATTTACCAAACGAAGTTCATAAGGTAACACATAACTAAGTAATAAGCTCAACATTGCATCCAATCCACAATAAAACCACATCTAAGTGAACTTATTACTTACAATTAATTATATACATACATACATCAACACGTGTGCGCGCGCGCACACACAAGAAAATTAAATGGAATAAAGTAGCTGGACCTCACATCTTCTAACCTGTTAGTTGCCTTTTTGATAAATGAGCCGTCACTTCATACACTTGACGCATACTAATTTTTGTAAGTACATATTACACAAGCACACTACTTGATTCGGTATAGATGGGGTGATTTCTGGTGTCAAATATGAAGTCTTACAAGTGAGAATAATGTATCATTGATATCTGATACAAATATGACTCCCTGTGAGAATAAACGATACATTGGACTTGGGTTTGTGTCTTGCATCCAGTTGAGCACTTGGTTTGCTCTACATAGGCTTGTTTGAGTCAAAAGTTGGTTTTGTCATGGAATTCATTATATCTTCGGTCGATTACAATAAATTCAAAAAAAAAGAGATAGCCTTTTTATAAGACCTCTTTTACACAACAAAATAAAAATTACAACTCTTGAGAAACAAACGCAGGATCGTTGTTTGGATCGCTGCTTGCGTGAGATCTTTGCCTGTGCCGGGAGCGCTTTGACTCGTGGACCACCAAGTCACAGATTCTGATTGAACCGTGAGGTGTTTATGATTCTGACTTTGTTTATCGAAGTGAGAAATTGAAACGATATCTTATCGAGGTAAGATAGTCGTTCTTCTTGAAATTAAGTCAAAGCTCAATTTCAAGGATTTGCCGGAGGCTCAAGAACTCTGCTCTCTCTCTGCTCTGAAGTGCTCCAAATGATCAGCTTTTGATCTCTGCTCGCAGCCCCTGCGAAAATGGCCTTCGTGGGGTATTTATAACCCTCTGGATGAACAATGCTCGCGAGACAGCATTTGCTGTCTCGGCGGGCGAGACAGTGTTTGCTGTCTCGCTTCGTTCATGGAACGAATCGAGAGGGGATTTTGGCTTTGGTCCTAACTGTTTAAAGGTTTGACCAAGATGGGAATTTGAGACGATCCTAACTGTTTAAAGGTTTGATCGTTCAATTTGTGGACCTCTCGTTCATGGAACGAATCGAGAGGGGATTTTGGCTTTGGTCCTAACTGTTTAAAGGTTTGACCAAGATGGGAATTTGAGACGATCCTAACTGTTTAAAGGTTTGATCGTTCAATTTGTGGACCTCTCGTTCATGGAACGAATCGAGAGGGGATTTTGGCTTTGGTCCTAACTGTTTAAAGGTTTGACCAAGATGGGAATTTGAGACGATCCTAACTGTTTAAAGGTTTGATCGTTCAATTTGTGGACCTCTCGTTCATGGAACGAATCGAGAGGGGATTTTGGCTTTGGTCCTAACTGTTTAAAGGTTTGACCAAGATGGGAATTTGAGACGATCCTAACTGTTTAAAGGTTTGATCGTTCAATTTGTGGACCTCTCGTTCATGGAACGAATCGAGAGGGGATTTTGGCTTTGGTCCTAACTGTTTAAAGGTTTGACCAAGATGGGAATTTGAGACGATCCTAACTGTTTAAAGGTTTGATCGTTCAATTTGTGGACCTCTCGTTCATGGAACGAATCGAGAGGGGATTTTGGCTTTGGTCCTAACTGTTTAAAGGTTTGACCAAGATGGGAATTTGAGACGATCCTAACTGTTTAAAGGTTTGATCGTTCAATTTGTGGACCTCTCGTTCATGGAACGAATCGAGAGGGGATTTTGGCTTTGGTCCTAACTGTTTAAAGGTTTGACCAAGATGGGAATTTGAGACGATCCTAACTGTTTAAAGGTTTGATCGTTCAATTTGTGGACCTCTCGTTCATGGAACGAATCGAGAGGGGATTTTGGCTTTGGTCCTAACTGTTTAAAGGTTTGACCAAGATGGGAATTTGAGACGATCCTAACTGTTTAAAGGTTTGATCGTTCAATTTGTGGACCTCTCGTTCATGGAACGAATCGAGAGGGGATTTTGGCTTTGGTCCTAACTGTTTAAAGGTTTGACCAAGATGGGAATTTGAGACGATCCTAACTGTTTAAAGGTTTGATCGTTCAATTTGTGGACCTCTCGTTCATGGAACGAATCGAGAGGGGATTTTGGCTTTGGTCCTAACTGTTTAAAGGTTTGACCAAGATGGGAATTTGAGACGATCCTAACTGTTTAAAGGTTTGATCGTTCAATTTGTGGACCTCTCGTTCATGGAACGAATCGAGAGGGGATTTTGGCTTTGGTCCTAACTGTTTAAAGGTTTGACCAAGATGGGAATTTGAGACGATCCTAACTGTTTAAAGGTTTGATCGTTCAATTTGTGGACCTCTCGTTCATGGAACGAATCGAGAGGGGATTTTGGCTTTGGTCCTAACTGTTTAAAGGTTTGACCAAGATGGGAATTTGAGACGATCCTAACTGTTTAAAGGTTTGATCGTTCAATTTGTGGACCTCTCGTTCATGGAACGAATCGAGAGGGGATTTTGGCTTTGGTCCTAACTGTTTAAAGGTTTGACCAAGATGGGAATTTGAGACGATCCTAACTGTTTAAAGGTTTGATCGTTCAATTTGTGGACCTCTCGTTCATGGAACGAATCGAGAGGGGATTTTGGCTTTGGTCCTAACTGTTTAAAGGTTTGACCAAGATGGGAATTTGAGACGATCCTAACTGTTTAAAGGTTTGATCGTTCAATTTGTGGACCTCTCGTTCATGGAACGAATCGAGAGGGGATTTTGGCTTTGGTCCTAACTGTTTAAAGGTTTGACCAAAATGGGAATTTTGTGAGGGAAGATTGATCTAAAGAGGTGATCGAATCTCATCTCAGCAAAAGAGTATTCAGAAGTTATAGTAAGAGTTTAGTGTTTATCACTTTGTTCATAATGATCGGGGTTATCCCTAAGAATATTACATTTAACATTCTTCCGGGAACTTCCCGTTACATGAATTATCCACCCCCAGCTTTCTTTGCAAAACTGGGTGTAACGAGGAGTACGTTATCCTCAGTCGCATGTTCGGGTTATCCTTAAGAATATAAGATTCTCCAGGAACTTCCCGTTATATGATTTATCCACCCCCAGCTTCCTTTGCGAAACCGGGTTTAACATTGTACTCAGTTGGATAATCGAGAAGCAGTTTATACTCATATACTCTTTGGAGTGTGAGGAAACAGTTTATACTCGTGCACTCACTGGAGTTGTATGGTCGTCTTTACTCGACTTCTTTCGTCGTTATGACGCCGGAGTCAATTAGGGCTTGGATCTTGTTTTTGAGTCCAAAGCAAATCTCAGTGGGATGAAGAACCCTTCTGTGGTACGCACAGTAGTTTGGATCCGTAATCCTCTTAGCTCCATCCTGATCTTTAATAGGTGGTAGCTCGATTTTGTCATTAGCGAGGAGGTATTCCAAGATGGCTGGAGCTTCATCATCTTCGAAAGAATATTCCTTTTGAAACCTCGGATCGAGAGTCGCATTCTCAACGATTGCAGATGTCATTGGTTGGCCTCTCTCAGCTTTCTTTCTTTTAAGAAAGTGCTCAGCTTGTTCACCCCGAGATTTTAACTCCTTCCAAGTTGTGGATGGCACGACCCCCAGAGCTTCCAGGACATCGATGGAGAGGTTATTGTGACATGTTTGCAGGATGAACTCCTCTGTAATAGGATCTCTGCAATTCATCGCCATGTTACGGAAACGCTTGACAAAATTGTCGACTGACTCTCCGTCTTTTTGCTTCTCATCCAAAAGGATTCCGATTGACACTTCGGTGTCATCATCGAAGAAGTTGCTGAGGAACAAACTTTCCATGTCATCCCAGCAATTGATGCTCCCTGGCTTGAGCCGTCGGTACCAATCGAAGGCGGGCCCACGAAGGGTGCCAACGAATGACCGGATCATTAAGGCCTCGTTTCCAGAGATTATGCCCAAATGAGACTTGAAATAAATCAAGTGTTGAATCGGCGAACTCTTCCCTTCAAACGGTGTGAAGTTAATCAGATTGAATTTGGTCGGGTATGGTATTGAATCCCATTCCCTCGGATAAGGACATGGAATACCCGTCTTCTTAACTTCTTGAGCCGTCATCAAAGCATTGATTTTGTCTTCAAGTTTTTGCATTTTCCCGTCATCGTCTTCATTTCTTTCTGAATGATGTCGAGTAAAGATAATTGGACCACCCCCAGTGAGAGGTGCTATTGAACCACCCCCAATATCGTTATTGGGAGGATCCGTTAAACCACCCCCAGCGTTATTGCCATTGGGAGGTGTATCAGCCATAATGACTTCATCCACCTCTGGATCACTGTCATCTACAACATTCCGAGTGTGGTGCTCATTTGTTGGATAGCTAACTCCATTTCTGTCTTCACTTCAGCTCTAATTTCTTCACGTTGTTTGGCTAGAGCTTCCTGAAGTATTTGAGTGAACTGATCAGCAGTGATTGTGAATACTTCTCTGATTTGTCCCGTGCTAGACCTTGTATCATCAGAAGCGATTGCAGAATAAGTGTCCGAGAATTCATCCTCCGAGGACATTCCTTCTTGCATTCTCTTATAGTCTCTGCGTCTGATGGCTCCTAATTGGAGTCGAGACATCCTTTGAGCAATTCTTAGATTGACTTTTCCTTTCGGGGAAAAGTCGGGATTTGAGTCACTTGAATGCTGTTTAGACTTTCTTCTATCAGCTACGTTGATGGTGACTTCAGGGAATTCATCATTTTGGACAGCTGCTCTTCTGGAAATGTCTCGGCTTAGGCTTCGACGATACAGAGACTCTTCGTGGGATGGCTTCTCGTTTGAAACAATCACATCCTGATAATGCTGCTTTAACGAGTCGCGCACAGGAACACCGAGGGTTTATTTCTCGAATAACTCTATTTCGAAAATTATTCACTACTCCAACTTGATAATACGATTTATCGGTATGATTTCCAAAAAATCGTATCGTCTGTTGACATGACCTCCCAGGTATGACGATATCATTTGGTGAATGCGTCTTCTTCTGGGGGTGTAAAACATTGTTGGCATTCTCAGGACAATTTATTTTTGTCTTTGAGCGACCCAAGGTTATGTTGGGAGTCGCACGTCTAAAACCACCCATTTGCGGGTATAGGGTCTTAACGGGCTCCGAATGCTGACTTTGCATAAGTCCAGATTTTGGAATCCAAACTTGGCGGGGTTTCGGTGGTTCTTTGGTCACCGTTTCCTTCCTCCTTTCTCGTCTTTGTTGTAAGAGAGCACGGGCATGGACAGCGTTTGCACGACGTTTTGTATACGTTCTTTGAGGTTTGAACGAGCCCTTTTGACTGTAGTCCATTCCTCCATCACTAACTTAGCAGAGATATGAGTGATTGGTCGTTGAGACAACTGAACCACTCGATGCCTCCTCGACTCTAGGTCCGCGTGGTAACGAACCCCGTCGGTTTGTTCCAAGGCTTTAGCCATTTGGCGAGCACGGCGTTGACGTTGTCTCTGACGAGCTCTTTTCGTCAATGCCGGCGGGCTTTGATTCGATGACTCTTCAACTAGATAAGAGCCATTGTGAGCAGAGGTGTTGCGAGTGAAATTCTCAGCAACAATCAAGCGAGAGTCTTCATTTTGTGCCTTCTTTGGCATGTAACTCTTCCTCAATTGTGAGATCCTCTCGTACTTGCGAGATAATGAAGATCTTGAAGAGGATGATGAGAGATATTCCTCAAACTTGGTTTGGTCGAATTCGTATTCGACCATGGATTCAACTGGAATCTTGATCGGCTGCGACACGACGGTCTCGGCAGCGAGACCGTTGGCTCCCACTGTGGTCGCCAGCTTGTTTGCGTCAAAAGTTGGTTTTGTTATGGAATTCATTATATCTTCGGTCGATTATAACAAATTCAAAGAAATAGTCTTTTTATAAGACCTCTTTTACACAACAAAATTAAAAATTACAACTTTTGAGAAACAAACGCAGGATCGTTGTTTGGATCGCTGCTTGCGTGGGATCTTTGCCTGTGCCGGGAGCGCTTTGACTCGTGGACCACCAAATCACAGATTCTGATTGAACCGTGAGGGGTTTATGATTCTGACTTCGTTTATCGAAGTGAGAAATTGAAACGATATCTTATCGATGTAAGATAGTCGTTCTTCTTGAAATCAAGTCAAAGCCTGATTATCAAGGATTCTCGCGAGACAGCATTTGCTGTCTCGGCGGGCGAGACAGTGTTTGCTGTCTCGCTGGCCGAGACAGTGTTTGCTGTCTCGCCCAGCGAGACAGTAAATTTGCTGTCTCGCTCAGCGAGACAGTAAAATACTGTCTACATTTCTGGCAGTTTTCGATGTAACTGCTTTCTCACGTTTCAAACTCCGTTATTTTGGCAGTTATCCACGTGATTCTCGCCCACGACGTTTCTCACGTTCTTGAACAGTTAGTGGCCACGTGTAGGGCAGTTACAAAGGTAGTTTTGACCATCTGAAAGCTGTTTCACGTTCGAGACAGTAAATTCTGTCTCGCACGGCGAGACAACAAAGACTGGCGAGACAGTAAAGACTGTCTCGCACGGCGAGACAGTAAAGACTGTCTCGCGCGGCGAGACAGTCAAGTCTGTCTCGCATGGCAAGACATTCAAGACTTGTGTTCTTCTGCCTTTTTGGATGATTTCCTCTTGAGCTGTATTTGGATATCTTTCAGCATTTTTTGACGCCTACAAGGCTTTGTGCCCTGTTGTAATTGGTTGCTAATTCATAGTTACACTACCTACATGCCAAAGAGGGTTATAGTCTATGCGATAAAAACTTGATGGCTAGTCAACATAGCTGATATCTTTTTTTTGCTATATTTTTTAAGCTCATGCAACTAAGCTTCAATTAAATTTTGGAAAAGATGCAAATAAACTAACCGGTAAGATAGTAGAATTTGGTATAACATAAGGAGAAGCATATTAAAGGGAAGGTGTCAGATGGACACAAGTAACAAATAACACAATGAGCAAAATCTTATGATAATCACAGGTGCATATTAGTAGGTTTTAGTTGGTAATACCACTGTTATAAATAGCGGTAAATAACCCCGCAATAGCGACGCTAATAGCGTTAGCGGTCCCTTCCCGCGATGCTATCGCCCGCTACGCTATCGTGCAATAACGATGACATATTGCGGAATATGTCTGTTCGCAAAAGTGGTCAATAGTGTGTCATAACGGTAAATAGTGAGCGATTACAATCGAAATTTACTTTTTGACTGCTATTTAAAAGCGGTTTGAGGCTTATTTTTTTAAAATTAAACTCAACCATTGACCATTGCATTCCACCGTCTCCTGTGATTTTTAGCATACTCCTGCCACCTCTCATAGCCTCTGACACCTACCTTGATACTTCCTCTCACCTCCTTCACCGTGGGCTCCTCTTAGGACAGTCATGTCACCGCTAAGCTCTTCTTCTCAAAGACGACGACTTTTTGACTCCTCCAGTCATCTTCGGTATTACGTGATGGTTACATGTCTATTTCATATTTAGGATCTCTTTAAATCATCCAATATGTACTTTTAGATTTCTTAGATTTTTTTTAATTTTTCTTTTTTAGTATTTATACATATCTAAATTAGACCGCTATTTGACTTTACGTTTTTTACCGCTATTTTGTCGTAATAGCCCGAAATAACCTTAGCGATGCCTCACCGCTACGCAACGCTATCCGCTATCGATAACCTTGGGTAATACTAACTTTGTTTGATACAATTACAAAGGTCAGTTATTTTTCAAGGGATATTGGAATAATGGGAGATAAGTAACAAATATATTACTCGTAAACTTGTCTTTCTTATTATTGTCTTTGATATTCTTCTTACATGTTCAATACATTGCTTATTCTAGGTGGCAGAAGTGGAGAAGCACATTGAGGAAGTAAGCACACAATTGGACAAGCTTCAGGTATGACACAAAATTATGATAACATACTTTTACTAAATCCTGATCAACCTTCTTCCATTTGAATCATGTGGTCTAATTGACTGCAGTTGATCACGAACATGAGGTTAAAAGTTTCACGTAATTGAATTCTTCATAATGCCAGTATTTTCAAAATGCATATGTATGTCTAATTTGCACATAAATCAAATTTCTTTGGTATCAAGCTATACTTTGAATGTGCCTAGTTGGGTGAATTAAGTGGCTTATATATCAAAATGCATATTACATTTTGATTATGGTCTGCAATAGGCAGTAAGTTGTAAAGTGGTTAATAGTGGCTAGGTGAATATGAATATGTACATGTAAATATATCTATATATGTATGTAATTAATCTAGAATGTTCACGTATAAGTGCCATACTTTGGTGCATTGTCATGCTAGTACAAATAACCATAAGCAAGCTACATACAAATTGCTTCAATGTTTCTTATGATTTCAAGTCTTATCATTTGTTCTTAGGCTGCAAATCAAGAATCCAAACAGGTGACAAAGGCCTCTGCTATGAAAGGTACATCAAACGGAACTTCAGTTTATATTTTTGTTCCTTTTAGGCGATCATAAAAGTAATGTTGTTTTAATTTAAGGATGTTAACTGTATATCACTTACACAAGCTTCTTCTTTTGTTTCAGCAATCAAGGAACGAATGGAGAAGGATATCGGTGAAGTTGCAAAAATTGTTATAAAAGTCAAAGCTAGCCTGGAAGCACTTGACAAAGATGTACGTGTTGTGTTTGCTTAGCTTCATATATAGTTTTGTACTATTAAGCTTGTTATTTATATCCATATTGATCTAGTTTTGTCAAGTTTATTCATGAAAGTATTTTTTTTCACTCAGAATTTAGCCAACAGGAGGAAACCAGGATGTGAAGCAGGGACAAGTGTCGATAGGTCTAGAACGGCAATGACTGCGTAAGTAAGTTACTACTGCTCATTCATTTGTTGGTTAAATCTCTAAGCTTTTAGTTTTCTTTCTTTTTGTTATACTCTACTTGTTGGATCCTAATGAACTTGATTGGATTTTCAGTCATAAAATTTTGAGCTATCACCCTAATATTCACTAGTATAGCATTGTGCTTCTTACTGTGATCAAACAGCTAAAGAGTAGTCTGCCTTGTTTTAAAGTTCTTATCCAATATTTATTTAAAATATAGTTAACGGTACAATATCAGTAAAAGATAGTGACATATCCAAACATATATCCAATTACATCTAATTTACCTGAATTTACATATATATTAACTCCACAAAGTATTGTATGTTATGACATCTTTGTTAGAAAAAGATACTCACTCGCATTTTTCTCATTTTCATGTAAAAGAAAAATTAAATTGAGCATAATTCCTCTTTTTCTCTAGTCTTTAGCCATATTTATTAATATTCAAACTAATATCAGAGGAATATCTGGATTCAGTTCGTATCAAAATTTGTATTCCTAATGTGGATATTGAGTTGGGATATACATAGCTGGATAAGTTATATTTTTCATTCAGTTCTGTTTGGGGGCAATTTCCTCCATTAAGTTAACCATGATCATATTCTTCTCGGTTGCTTCTAACTACGTTTCCATACCGAGCTCTCCCCAAATGCTCCTTGAGGCAAATTATCATTTTGCTCTATGATATATTTCATGTTGCAGGGCACTGAGAACGAAGTTAAAAGAGCGAATGTCCCAATTTCAGGTACATAATTTCAGCACATTTCACCTCTTCAGCTTTCAACCCTTTTCTTGTTTAATTTATGTGTATCATCCGCCAAGACTCAAGTTTCCCCTTAAATTCGTTCTAGATCCTGAGGCAAAATATCCAGGATGAATATCGTGAGGTTGTAGAGAGAAGAGTATTCACAGGTATGCTAATATCAAATTCACATACTGCACATCAAATGTATTTCACTAATGATAATGAACTCACCTATGGTAACGAATTTTTCTCCTGTTAATGCAATTTCAGTAACAGGAACACACCCTGGTGAAGAAGTAAGATAATCTTCTACCATTGAGTTTTGATTTTGGGCTTCTATGCTATTTCATATCATTCATGCTGCTACACGATTTGTATGGATTCAGACAATTGATGACTTGATCGAAACTGGAAACAGTGAAAAAATATTTGCAAATGCAATTGGTCAAGGACAGGTAGCTACACTATCAGATTCAAATTGATACTATATTCAAAAGATAGCTCTCACCGTCCAGATTTTTGTAGATTATGGATACATTGGCAGAGATTCAAGAGCGTAGAGATACTGTGCTCGAAATAGAGAGGATGCTTCTTGATCTGCATCAAGTATTATATTCCTAAAATAGGTCCTTGCACATTTAAAATTTGCATCATAAGGATTGATAGAGTGATAGCTAATTGTGCAGGCTTTCATGGATATGGCAGTAGTGGTCGATTCGCAGGGAGAAATGTTGGATGATATCGAAGCTCAGGTTTAGTATATTTTCGACATGAAAGAACCTTATATTTTTGTTGAAGTATAAATATAACTATTAAAATAGAACTTTGAAGATTTTTTTTCTTTTTGATACAATAGGGACCTTAGACCATTTTACTGACTTAGAGAATTGAAAAAGAGACGGCAAAACTTCAAAGATTTGATATAGTGGAATGGACTTTAACATGTTATCAAATTAGACCTTAATCCCGTCACTCATGCATTTAAAATTTCAAACAACCTCGAAGATTCTTGGCCCATTTTGGGATGATCCCAAAAATTTTCGTAATATCACTTGACCTCCAAAATTTTTGCATTTCTCTGAATCTAATTTAGATGACCGCCAAGCTTTTGCGGTTATGTGAAAAGGTTTTGGGGTTCAAGTAACATGACATTTCCAAACTTTTTGTAGTTATCTCAAAATGTGCCAAAATTCTTGGGGTGTTTTGTGAAATTTATCCTACAAATCTAGGTTTAGATCCATAACCCTTAATGCTCATCATAACTTAGAAATTCTACGACATTGGAATGAAGTTTTAAGAGTTTTTCATGTGCAAGTGACAAAAGTTCTCCTCTATTTCTTAGGTTGTTAGCTCGGTTGATCATGTTCAAAAGGCGACAATGAAACTCCAAGAAGCGAAGAAGATTCGAAACAATACGAGGAAATACTTGCTCATCGCCCTTATCGTCCTGATCGTTATCATAATCATTGCTCTCATTCCTCTTTTCAAAAAAGGTTCAGATGACCCAAGTCAACAAGCCCAAAATATGCCGAAGCAAACCTGATACGAAGCTTGATTTCCAACTTTGTGTTATTATTTTTCTATTTGTGCTTAATGGTTCTTCACATTTTCACCTGTATCATGCTAATATTGTAATATTACAACTCCATTGATGCGTATATAGTAATATTGGTATTATTTGTACAAATTTTTTTTTTCTGACGAGAATGATGTGACCGTAAACACAGTTTCTTTTTAATATTTGCTTTAAAGCACAAGTCAATAATATGGTTATCCATAATTTCCCTTGTTAATTAATGCCCTTTAGCTCACTATATTGGTAATGAGGTCGAACTAGATGATGATTTTATTTATTTATTTATTTATTTATTTATTTGATGGATATGATGAAATTTTAAATGATCCCAGTATGTTCTGTTCATCAAATTATATAATTGTCTCATAAGCAGATACTTGCACTGACATGTACAAAAAGATAAGGACATTTGGATACAACAAATCAAAAATTAAATGTGGGAAATCTTCACTGGTACCATGATTAAATAGTTTTCCTTATCATAAATGTTCTAAAAATTGTACATCAATTATGAAGTGAATTTAGATATATTAGAAATTTATAGATGATTAATTTCATGAAAATTGTATTGAAATTATTCGCACAGTCGTGACTATATTCAATCCCAGCGACTATGAACTAAATCTAAATATATTAGAAATTTATGGATAATTTCATAAAAAATAAATTAAGATAAGTTACAGATTCGTAACTATATTTAATCCCAACCAAACAAGATATCCAGACCGAACAAGCAAAGAGAAGGGAAAATTTATAAGATTAACAATTTCTAAAATATGTCCCGGACAAACAAAGCTAGAATTGAGCTCTATAGAAAATCATATAGGCAATTGGGATACTGTCTGACCCAGCTTAAATTTCTGATGCACGTATTATTAGTCAATGTCGTCAGGTTGTCTATCAGTATCAGTATATACTACTATGTTAATAACTGATATTTGATATGAAAAATTCCTCAAGGACCCAAAATATGGGACCAATAGAGGGGACAAGTGAGGTGGTTCCTCCTATTGGATAATGAGTTGGCCATCATTAATGATGACCAACTCATTATCCAATAGGAGGGGGACACCTCATTTGTCCCCTCTATTGGTCCCATATTTTGGGTCCCTGTAGCAAAACTCATTTGACATATGCATCAAAATTCATGCTAGATCATGTATCTTCATCCCCATCTTCCTATTAATATTTTCACTAAAGGACACATTTATGATTTTTCTCCCCATGTGTCTTTTTCTTGAGTGTAGCTTATAAACCACACAGAACCTAAGAATTGAGATAACGTTCAGGTGGCCTGCTGGGATAAAAATCAATGTTTCGGCCCATCAAAGGCAACAGCCCATATCTTGTGAGCCCACAAAAGGCTCCACCCTCGCGAAGTTCTGTTCGAGCGCCGGCGTACCAACTACTAATCCACTGACGACGATGGAATCGAGGATGAGGAAGTCGAAATCAAGGTGAAAACACGAAACCCTAACCCTAATTCTTCAATTTCCGTTCTTCATAATCTAGCCCATTTGTGGATCCGCTTTGTACCCAGTCGATTTATGGTTTGATTCGTTGAGTTCGAGACTACTGGATCTTTTTGTTGTGAAGTTCACTGAAAATCTTTGATAAAAGTCAGTTTTGATACTCTTGGAGCTAAGCTTAGTATGTAGAATGCGCTTATTCTTTATGCGAATTTTTCCCCCTGCAAGTTGTTCAGGAAGCTGTTGAAATGATGGAATGCATTGGTTGAGAGAGAGAGATTTAGATGAAATTGGAAATGGCAGATTGTGCTGTTATACCGTCGTGTGCCCGTGTGTCAATCCGGAGAAATCGGTCCATGACGAACCTTTATGTTCCGAGGAGCACGAATGTGATTTCATCAAGAAGGTGGTTATCCTCTCTTTGTCATAATTTCGTCTGTTATTTGTTTGCAATTGTTAGGATAAGTTTGTAACATCTGTTTGATGTGGGATATCATAAGAAACAAACATTAATGATAACAAATACATATGCATGACTGTTTTCAATTTAAATCATCTTGTTTATAAATGAGTTAGGTGAAGTGCCATTTTCATGGGTCTGTTGGGGAATTTTGATATGGTTGAGGTGAAGTGATGATGCCTCATATAGACAATCTGAAAAGGCAGGTTTAATAGTAGGAAAAATCAAGGTGTATAGTAATATTACAACTTCATTGATGTAATATTATTTCCAAGAGAAAATGCCTCACGATTTTGATGTGGTTGAAAACTGTATTGTTTCCAAGAAAAACCAAGAAGGTATCGTTGCCCCGTGTTGCATTCATGCAATCTATGAAACATTTTTAGTACATAGTAATAGGTCATGTGGTTAGCATGAGAGGAAGAATATTTGTTGTAATTCTCGAGTGTCAATGACTTGACGAGAGTTAACTCATTGTTCATGTAAGGTTGCACCTTTAATGGTCTTTTTTAACTTGTTTGTACAGGACATGTCTATTCTTCAAGAATGCTTATTTTAGTTCTCGTGTTCCGTCACTTAGAAAAAGCCAAAGGCTGAAACCGCTTAGCAAGAGTTCCCTAAGATGTTATTGTTTAGGGGCATTGATGGATCCTGAGAGCATCGCACCATCAGGGTTGGCTTCTTATTATGACGAGGCACTTCTTGTCGTCAGTGTAATTTTTGCATACATGGCAGGAGCAATACCCCAGAATAGGATCATCCCTGGTACTGGAAGTAACAACATTGACCAGAATACTCCATCTTCGAGCTCGAACCCTTATGGTAGGTAAGAGTAAGTTGCCTCATTTTGTTGTCTATACTTATTATATGCATGTCTTATTTTTGTTACTTATGGGAAATGTACTTGTCATGTCAGTGTCACTTATATAGGACATTTTTCTGGGCAGAATCTTTCACAAATGATGACATGGGATCAAAGTCAAATGACTCATGGAGTGAAGTCAAAGGAAAATTGCTGGATGCTCTGAATGCAAATGAGCATGGTTATGGCTTCAGTAGTAAAACTGTGGAATCCGAAATTCATAGTAAAACATGTCCCTTAAGTTTGTTTGCGCTGGCTGAAGGTCCAAGATTGCGATTGCTTTCGGCCTCTCTGCAGCAACTCCAAAAAGAGGCAGGCACTGTCTCTTCTACCCTTTTATTTTTGTATCTTGTTGCATATCTTTACTAGTCCAATAATGTTACCATATTGAATCTGCAGTTGAGAACAATTAAGAATGATATGTCAGTGGTTAACTTAACAAAGGAGTTAACCCTAAGTAGAACTAATAGGAGAGTAAGGTTCATTTAGCCAACTCGGGAGTTTTGATATATTGGCTTTGTTGTTGTTGTGTGTGTTGAAATTGCTGTCTGGCTCAAGAGCTTTGAGTTTGTTGTCACATACGAACCGCTTAGTTGAAATTTGTGAAATTAAAATGCTGCAAGTGTAAGGTAGCATTTTATTAAGGCAATAGTTTAGCTTCTAATCCTTGTTTATCTGGTAATAATTTGATTGTGTAAAAGGTTATATGCTTGACTTGTTTGGCTTATAATTTTATTTATTTGCAATGGTGGAGATGATCTCATAATTATATCTTTGTTAAGGATTTCCATAAGATGATCTAAAATCATCCTGCACTTCAAACAATCTGAACTCTCTGCGTACTTGAAAAAAATGTGGTAGTAAAGCTGAGGTATAACAGTAGTTTTGTAAACAAACTTGACATTATCCTCATTTTAGTGTCAACTTATGATATGTTTTTCTGTAGCAACTTGAGAAAAGAAAAGTCATTTTACTATGTTTGCTTATTGTGAAAGTGTTCAAAGTTCTAACTCGAATATCTTAGTCCTCTGAATTACGATACTGCTCCTGAGCCTGTGGGTTATCTTTTGTTTCATTGGCCCAGTAGCTTAATTAGCAATTAATGGTTACGATTATATTTCATTTTTTAAAATTAGACCTGATTATCCATGTATTATTTTTCTGACGGCTTATTGTAATAGTTAAAAGCACATGAATTCTCTAGGTTGGATGAATTGCTTGCAGCCTTTTTGAATGACGAGTGTTAAACAGCAGTTTGTATCCTTTTTATTGCTGATACCATTTCATTTCTTTTCCTCTGAGATAATATCACTGGATAAGCCAATATTTTCCCCTTAGAGCTTTCATGTCAGCCATGTTCATATCAGCCATGAATTCGAGCTAAATTTTGTTTTCGGTTGGTGAATATCTTTCTGCTGTTATCTACCTAAATCTTGCCAATTGCATTGGCAGGTCAGTGATATCTCACTAGCACGTGAAACTGATAACAGGGATGTCTGGCTAGTGGTTGCATCAGAAGTTATAAAAGGATCAATTCGGCCAGCATGTAGCAAATGGCTGGAAGAGGAGCTTACCCTGGAAATTGGAGACTCTGACATGGTATCATAGAGAAGATTTGAAGCTTGACCATTTTTTCCATGATCTTCTCAATTTCCTACTGATAAGTGCCCTTTCCATTTCAGATGCTGATAAATCAAATTTCTGAGAAGTTGAAGGGAGATGATACAGTATTACAGAACATCGATAGATCAGGAAAGGAAGAACTATATGCCGATTTGCTGTTTTTCCTTAGATTTGGTTGTATCAGGTATTAGCTTTAGCTTCGACATTTTTTCCCCACAGCATTTCTTTTTCCATCAAAGAGTAGTCCTTTTTATTTTTTGACATATAGATTATATTACTTTTGATAGAAATTGAAATGATTCTAGTATCATGATCTAGTGCTTGTTCTCTACATACGGAAAAGGTTGTAAGTATGAAATAAGATTCCATGATCACATGGTGCAGGGCATCAGAAGCACCACACATGAGAGGTGTACCGAATGAATAACTTGTAATGTTAAGCAACTGCATTTTGTGTAACATGCATATCATATTAACACTACAAATTGCCAATATATGAACCCAACCTCTATCTTGATGATTTGCCTCTACCGGTACCCATTCCTTCTGTTTCATATAATTTATGTATTTCTTTATTCAGTTTGTATTGAATTTATTTAGGTTTGCTGTAATAAGAAATTTGCGTATAATGCTGATATTCGTTCTGTAATTTAATAATTATATTTGCTATTCTTATCAGGACTACATGCTGCTACGATTCCAAATTTCTAACACAACATGGGATTGATATTCTAGAAGATTTGGTGATTATGTTGGCGGATGGAATTGCTAGCACTTACCTAGAGCTTATTTCTGTGGACAGTAACATGTCTACTGAAATAAATGCCATGGGTTTAACTTTGTGTTCTTTGTCGACTAGAGAACTTCAGAGATTGCGTAATGAGGTAAACAGCTTACTGCCTAAAGACATTTCGTTAGGGTGCTGGTTATAGCATCAGATGTTAGCTTGTCACTTTTTTCATTTGCTATGTAAATTTCTGATGTCATTTTCAAGTTCATTTTTCTTCATGAATCATGCTCTTCAACATAAAGTCTATCACTGAATTAGATGAGGGTATCCACCTATTTATTGGACGACATTTATATAGTCTGGTGCATAGAGAGTTTCTATTGACCTTAGGTAAAGTGGATGGTTGACTACTCTTGAAGAAAATATAATTGGTTATCTTTGAACCTAATTTTAGCTTGTCATTTCATTGATTATAATTGGCAAGGAGCAGGTTCGGGCTTTGAAATCCAGTAGGTGATGTTTCACATCACCAAAGTTTTGCACAGAGTTAATAGAATAATGTTCTCAGATGTCTAAAGCATCAAGTTTCTGCACTCACCTCAAGTAGGTGTTGTCCTTTTTGTTTGTGTGTGTGCATGTGCACGCACGTGTTTCGTTGCTTCTATTTATTGGGGGAAATATCCTCATTTTTATCATTAATTTTTTTGGTGAATCATCAGAAGCCTACCAGTATATCATGGCTATAAATATCAAGTTCATCAGTGTCTATTTGTTGGTCTGAGCATGCTACAATATACAATACACCAGTGGCCATTTGTTTGTACAAGTCAGCTACGTAATATTTTTATTATTATTATTATTCAAATATGCCCTAGTCTACATGTGTTCTGATGTGGAGTTCATGTACTGAAAAAAAGACACTTTATGCCCTTTAATGTGCAATCTTGATTCTGGCCTCTATCATTTTCTTTCTTATGTGTTTGTCAAAAATGTGCATGCACTGTAAACGGACGGGGCATAGTAGATGCTGAATCAATGTTAGCATGGGATTATTACTGTTTCCTATATTAGGTTCCTGATTTATCTTTTTAATAGGTGGCACTAAACCGGTGGTTGCTGCAAAACTTTGAGTCAGTTGTCTCAATGTACGAGGATCGGTTTACGTTGTCTGTGTTCTGCAGCCAAAAACATGAGGATCCACTCGATAGTCAAAGTGAAAAATATACTTGGTGGAAGAAATTTACTTTCAGGAAGGCAGCGACACTGCCCTCATTGAATTATATTCTGATCAGTCCAGTTTCTTTGCCAGTCAAACGGACTAAGGAGCTAAGAGCCTTGATTGGATGGTAATTCATTGTTCATGTGAAATATTTATTATACATTAAGTGCACACATTCATTGAACAAAATAACGTATGTTCACCTTTTAAGTCTTTTGTTGGATATACTGATGCACAGAGAACGTATCACTCAAGTTGGCATCCATCTACCCACTTTTTCCACCCACCTGAGGCACAAAAACATGTAGCAGACTAACAGTTTGTATCAGATATATAGCTTCAAGCTACTTCACTAGATGATTAGTAATTTTATTTTAAAAATGTTCTGAGTGTTCTGATATATTCTATTATTTGGAAGCATACTAACCTGGCCCACGTGAGGTAGTGGCTTTACTGTTGTCTATACTTTCCATAACGGGAAAGGATGTGTAGTGTTAATCGTTGAAAACGTGCAGTAATTGTGGAAGGATTTATAAAAAGAGTTAACTCAAAGTTGGGAATTGAGAAGAGTTTATTTAGAGTATTAGTAAGGACATGAGATCAGCAACTGAACTGAAAGGATTTATTAGAGAATAGAGAATTAGGCAATTGTTGATTCTATTATCATCTTAATGTGCACCATTTTACAAGCCAAAGTTGCCTTGAAAGTACAACATCCTATACATTTTCGTTTTAATTTCAGTTGCATTTGAACACTTCCAAATCTAGTCTGTGTAATTGACTAACATCTTTTGGGAAGGTTGGTTTCTTAATTACTCAATAGTTTGCATTTTATTCATGAATGACAATTGAATTTGTCTTGATACTGAGCTTCGCAGTCATTTTGTACTTTTAAATCATCTTTTTTATCTCTGACATTTGAACAAACCATTTTGCTTAAAGGATCTTCGTAGAAGTAGACTATTATGCTGATTGTCAATGTTCTGTGGTTGCAGGAGGTACTACTTCAGCTTGTTTCTGGAATTTTCTGATATAATGATGCCTTTGGTAAAAACAATTTTCACCAAGGTCAGGAATGCTGTGTCTTTTCTTCTTATGTGTATGATTGGGAGATCTTTGGGGCTTATTTTCACCGGGATAAGACAGTCGTTGGGGTGGAGGTGAACTTTTTTTTGTGTGGATATTTTCCTTTTTCATTATTCTTCTTTTCATCTTTTACCGCAACATGTACCATTTGTGCACAATAGCCTGTGATTCTTCAAGTATAATGAAGAGGCTAAAAGAAAATAGTACAAGTACATTTCTTATATCATTACCGATGCTCACTCCTTTTTGTTGCGCATCCTTCTATTCTTTCGCATATGAAGTGAGCTTGTGAAGCAGTCGCCTTCTGATTGTGTGGAATAATGTGTTTATTCAAGGCATCAACTTTCTAACTTGTGATATTCTTGACCAATTCAAAGCAACTATTGATTATGTTTTTGTCTCAACTAAGATGATTATTGAACTCAATCGAGGTACTTACTGAATTTTCTTTTCTGAAAGGTATATATTGTGAGGTCTTTGTGCTTCCTTCATAGTTTCCTGTCTCAAGTTATCGAACTTCATGTTTCTCAAGTTATCGAACTTCATAATTATTTAGGAGGTCTTCTTTATTTGTAGTGCGCTATAAAACAAGTCTATAAATTGGGCTGGACGTATCTGTGGTAGAAGGCAAAATGTGGTATTAGCAACAATATTTGGGTATTTTTGTTTTTAAGCTTGTGAGCAAACTGCGGGGTTTGTAAATTTAATAACTATGTATGATATTGTATTACAAATCCCAGAAAAATACAAAGCAGTCAAGCACAGGTACAAAAACATATTGCGAAGGGAAAAAAGAGTATACACAAAATAATACGGTTTGACTTTTAGCCTACGTCTATGGGCAAACGACTAATAGAGTTTTACTCATTAATCACGAATATAGTGATGGAAGAACTCTCAAAACCTTAATTTTTTTTTTAATATCCTTAGCAAATTATGTGTGTTCTATGGAATTTTTAGAAGCCAATTAATTTTATCTTAGCAATAGTTGATTATTATCTTTTTTCTGAAAAGATAGATGAATATCGCATACTCCTGATACTCCCAAGGATCTTGCCTCCACTTTATCTTGCCTCTCTTTCAAATAAATGCTTGGTTTTCCCTTCTTAATTTTATCAAGTTCCTTCAAGTCAGGATATGACTTGTTTTTTCCAAGTTAAAAGTCTGTAACATTTGTTTTTTTCTTAGTAAAGAAAAAGGGGTCAGGAGGATGCTCACTTTTGCTAGGTGATTGGCTCAAGACTCAACCTGAATTTGCAGCTGGAGTCCTAAAGAGTGCAGATAAAGAAGCTAGTAGCCTACTACTAGGCTATAACTTTTCAGCCTTGTTCCAAATAATTATTGGAATCCTTGGCAGCTGTGGTTATTACTATAAAGATGCGACACAGGGGTGCGTATCAGTATTTCACTGCCGCGCGCTTGGATGGATCAGATCACCCCGACACATTTATTTATTTATGATAGGAATTATACTCATGATCTCTTAGCAGGGCTTTCTACATAATCTCTGATCAGATAGTGTCAGTTTCCTTTTTTTCGATCCTCTATCACCACCAAGGTTTGAAACTGGCATCAGGGCTCCACCAGATTGATAGATTGTCATACTAAATCTTGCATTATTACTAAAGAAATAGTTTGACCTTTGTTTGCCCAGAACCAAAAAAAAAAAAAAAAAGTAGACAATAAATGAAGAAAGGCGTGCATGATGTGTTGGACCTGTAGATGCATGGTGTGCTCTGAAGAGCAACCGTTTGTCTTTTCTTGCTGATATCGATTAATACAGAGCCCAGGAATCTCCCTTTTGCTTTTCTTTCCTGAATAACTCTGCACTTTTTCAAACTGGAAGGCCAATCGCAGAAAATTTTTGCCCTCTTTGCATTGCTGCCTATTAGTGTTATTTCAAGAAAAATTCCCTAATGACCCAAAATATGGGACCAACAGGGCGACATGTGAGGTGCCCCCTCCTATTGCATGGCCAGCTCATTATGCAATAGGAGGGGACACCTCACCTATCCCCCTGTTGGTCTCATATTTTTGGTCTTTGTAGCAAAGCCCGGATTAATTTCACAGTAATGTTTCCCAACCACGCATGAGGTGTCTCTGATTCAAAACTGGATTAGAGCAAATAGTAGTCTCTTTTTGTGCGTGTGAGTGTTATCAAATTATGACATCGATGGAAAGTTGACACAAACACATAATTTCCCACCTCAGTTTTCTCCCTCCTGTAGGATTCACAAACTGTAGAAACAGTCTCTGGATATAATAGTGTAGAGAGAGAGAGAGAGAATCTCTGGGTATAATAGTGTAGAGAGAGAGAGAGAGAGAGAGAGAACATGGTGGGTACCAAATCTTCTCACCTATCTTTTTCATATAGGTCCCTGAAAGTCCAAATAGCAAGCGTCTTCCAGCAACCATACACCCAGAAAAAATCCAACACGATACATATCCTCATCATATAGGCTTCATTTCCTATGTTAAAGCCTTCAGTACTCACCAAACTTAGATTATGCAAAACTAAAACATATTTTTTTTTAAAGTCATTAAACCTCGTAATTAAACATTCTCATGCTATTCATGTTGGTTCTTGGTTTCCTGTGATGATGTGAACTGCACCGTTGCCTACACAGCTAGCAATAAACAAGCGCACTGATTCACATTACTCGTACTCCCCCGGAGACCCCCGAGCACTTGTGTTTGTGTATGGTTGTTCTTCTCTGCACAAATTTTCAGGCTCTACGGTTCAAAAACTCACAGAGACTTTTGACTCTGGAAACAGAGGGAAAAGGAACCTCTTTTGCAGAGAGCCTCGAGCCCAATAGAGCCACACGTGTCATCTCTCATTTACTGGTCCTGACATGCATGCTTCCAAAAGTTGTTCGCGCCTTCTTTTGTCATCATCTTGCGTTTGTGTAGAAAAAGTACTTTTTTTTTCTTTTTGTTGATTTTAATTTTAAAAAAACCCCTGCAATTGCTACCTCGGTTACAGCGTTGGCGTGTGCTTTAAATAGGTAGCTTCAGAAGGATTTGGAGCACTCTTCCATTCCTCAAATTTTGAGGAGGGTCTGCATGGAACCAGATGATAGCCACAGAAGAAACTCTGCTTTTGTTCTTGTTCTGGTTTCATGTCTTCGTTCTTCAGATGACAGAATCCGTAGAGGGTTGAGACTCTGCGATGGCCTTGTCTGCTGGCTCGGCGTGTTCTTCCCCCTTCGTCGTCGTATCGGGAGGTGGATGTTCCATCGTGAGGAGCCTCCGTTGTCTTCGCCTTCAAGGTTTGAAGATGTCAAGCATGAAGTCCCCAGCGGATCAAACCCCGAGAAAAATTAGTAGTAATATGATCATAATGGATGTTTTCATTGTGAGTCTGCGGTTTAACTAGTTGGTAATTTTGGGCATTGTATATGGTTGTTTTTTAGAATCGTGATTGGCATTGTGATGGTCATTGGCAACGAGCAGGTTTTCTCTTTTGTGATTTTTGCCCTCCTCAGTCTTTTAGTCGTGAAGGTAAAAAAAGGGAAACAATGTGTAGCTCATGTTGATAGAAGACTGTTTGTGCTTTGCTTCTAAATCTTTATTGCCTGTATTATGGGATTTGCCGTTTATGAAAAACTTGTTGGTTGATTGTGGAATAAGTATTCAAAACTCTTCTAAACTATGGTATTTAGATAATTTGGGGTCTGTGATCATGGTGAAGCTTATATTACTTTCGCGTTAAGTATTTGTTGTTTGTGAATCCAAAAGGAACTGGTTTTGAATATGACTTGAGCTTTTTTGTGTGAACATCGGTCTTCACGTTTGATGACTCTTGGCAAATAACAAGAAACTGAGAGTGAGAGTGTTGATGTCAGTTAATAAACAGGGGGTTTATGTGAGGATTATGAGAGTGTTAGGTCCCCAAACTCCTTCAGATGGCAGGTTCTGGGATTTATTGTTCTTCCATGCACGTAAAGAGCTCGTAAGAGGGCGGAGTTGGGATCTCTGGTTGTTCCTCCAACGATCAGATCAGTAATTGATCTTGAGTGGGAAATATAGAGATGGTAATTCGAAGTTGCCTGAAAAAACCCACCCTTACCGCATGCAATGCTACTCTCTTTATAGTGAATTAGAAGGGCAAAGAGGTAACTTGGGCGGGGTCCAGCTAGGTAGATGAGTCGGCAATCATTTTCTAGGTGTCGGCCATAGAAGATGGTGATTCATATGGTCATATAATGCGGGAACGACAGCAGGTGCTTGGCGCTGACTGGGTTCGGTGAGTCATACAGACTATGGGGAATAGAGTAATGATAATTTGTCAGAGCAGTTAATACAGGGACAGTCGGCTAGCAAGGGTTTCGAGATAATTGTTTGTTCTCTATTTGTTTGGTCAATGGCCGACTAGCACCACCTTTTGACTTGGCTGCGCGAGTTGCCGGCTGATCAGTAGGCCGAGTACGGGTTAATATGGTGGGTTGGCCGACAAGTTCCGCCTTTTGACTCGGCTACGCAAGTTGTTGGCCGATCGAATTGGCTGCGGAAATGGCTTGAGTTGTCTCGATTAGGGATTTATTTGATTGCATGTAGGGACACGTGTCAGCGTCTTAATGGATATTAATGCTTAGTGATTTTTTGGCCCTTTTCACTTGGACTCGGTGTAGGCCGGATCCGAATGAAATCATGGTTTGTTGAGTCATGGGGTGCATTAATGAGAGGTGACTGAGAAGTCATTTTGGATCTGAAGTTGCTGACGCTAAAGAATAATTATTGGCTGTTGTCACCTCGTCTTTCATGCCGGAGTGTGGGTTAATTAAGGTAGGGGTGCCTCAAGTCTGGAGTGGTTGCTTTGGATTCCCAGGTTAATCTCAGCCGTTGGCTTAGAGCTGTGTCAACCATTGAGATCTTGACAGCCGTTTGACCGAGTCTACCTATAAATATGGCTGTTGTGGTATGGAGGAAGGTGCTTTTTTTCAAAGATCCTTGAATCCTAATTGCAAAAGACTCTGGTTCATCATCTTCTTTTCCGGTGATCTTTAGAATGATTCCGATGGCGACTTCGACAGCTTCTGCACTTACGGTCCGACATCGTCAGTCGGAGAAGTTTCACTCCAAAATGACAGTGCCACAGTTGAAGGCGCTGCATGAGAGGTTCAACATTCCACGGGCGTTCGTTCTGATAGCACTGGCGAAGTCTGAGGTGGTCTTCAACCATGATGCAATTTAGGCTACGGTGTATATAAGGCATTTGGAATATGATTTACGTCTGTCGCCGCATCCTTTTCTCCATCGTGTTTTTGAGGCTTTAAGGATATCACCAAGTAGATGAAGCCGAATTCAATTGCTATCCTAGTGGGGTTTGACGTTATTTGTCACTGGTTTGGGAG